GAATATCAGCAGATAGCCCGAATCTGCAAAGATGAAGTCAAGAAAGCAAAGGCTCAGTCTCCGTGCAAAAAGAAACTAGCCCAACCTACCAAAAACTATAAAAGACAGACTAGAAATTAAAACTACAATAAGCAAGAAAATGGTTAGAGAACACCTATCTGATCTTGATGAATATAAATCACAGAGATCTGATGGATTACATCCCAGAGTTCTGAAGAAACTGGCAGATGATATCTCAGAACCATTGTACCATATCTTTCAAAAATCCTGGGACACTGGGGAAATACCTGAGGAATGGAAAACAGCTGATGTGGTTCCCATCTTCAAAAAGAGGGGAAAAACAGACCCAGGAAAATACAGATCCACCTGATATCAATACCTGAGAGTATCCTGGAAAAGATAATAAAAAAATAGATCTGTGAACATCTAGAAACAAAGTTATAACTAAAAGCAAGCACGGGTTTGTTAAAAATAGATCATGCCAAGCAAATCTTATTTCACAAAGTGATTAAATTAGTAAACCAGCGGCTCTGGACATAGTATACTTAGACTTCAGCAAGGTATTTGACAAAATAGACCACAACCTACTGCTAGTGGATGATCACTTAAACATGAACCAGCAGTGTGTGGCAGCAGCCGAAAAAACTAATACAATACTTTGTTGTAAAAACAGAGGCATAGAATCAAAATCACATAAAGTATTAGTACTGCTTTATAAAATCCTAGTAAGACCACACCTGGAATACTGAAACCAATTTTGGTCACCATACTACAAAAAGTACTTTGGAAAAAGTTCAGAGAAGAGCAACTAAGATGATCAAAGGCCTGGAGACCAAAACATATGAAGAACGGCTGTAGGACTTGGGTTTGGCTAATCTAAAGAAAAGAAAAAATAGGGGTAACATAGGCAGTTTTCCAGTATCTGAGGGGCTGCCACAAAGAAAAGGGGATCAAATTATTCTCCAAAGCACCAGAAGGCAGGACAAGAAGCAACCTGGAATTAAGGAGAAATTTCCTAAAAGTGAAGACAATTAATTGGTGGAACAGCTTGCCTTCAGAAATTGTAGGTGCTCCATCACTAGAGGGTTTTAAGAAGAGACTGGACACTTGTCTGAGATGGTATAGGTTCTCCTGCTTGAGCAGAGGAATGGACTAGAAGATCCTTTCCAACTCTATTCTATTCTATTCCATTTTCAGATGCAGCATGAATAAATAATCATTTTAAACAGGCTTCGCATGTGGTACTTATTGGAATACTGGCTGTAAGAAAATCTACTTCATCTCTGCACAGAATTCTCAATAGATCAACATGAATCTCAGGAAGTAAGGGTCTCATAGAGATGCTTTGTCAGGGAGCCCTTAAAATCCTGGAAGTACTATTAATGCACTGGTAGCATATATAAGAGATTAATTCAACTGCATCAGGGATGACTATTTGGATGCAAATTGAGATGCCATGTTTGGTAATTAAATGTTCCTTTCAAATATCCACTCCCATATGTAAAAAGTAAAAGGGAAAAAAAACATACAAATTGCTGTTTTATTTAAACAATTCTTCCATTTTAGTTCTTAACTTCCATAAAAACACCTGACAATTAAATAACATTAAATAACAAATAACAGCATTCCATGTGCCTCAATGTATAGTCATGTTGGCCACATATATGTTATAGATGTCAAAGCATCGTCTCCTTCAGCTGGTTAAAGCTAAGCTACCTCATATTATCAAAAATAATTTAATATCCCAGAATGGGGATGAGCAGCAACTGCACCACAAGACAAGCAGAATATAAATTTGATAAATAAATAAATAATAAACGAAGAAAAATGAAAATTTTCTTTCTGAAGGAGCTAAACAGTATATACATAAAGCATTAGCCTCAGTTAAGAGTTTTGAAGCCTTGTGTAAAAAACATTTGTCATGAGCAAACTAAATTGATTTAAACCTGGTTATTTCCATGTATATTTGAATGGAAATGATTGTTATATGGAAATTCTACATCCAATTAGGTTACCTAAATGCTATTGAAATCAGGATCTAACCACATAGCCACCAACCAAAAATTAGGTAGAAACAGAAACAGAAAAAGTATTGGAGGAAAGGAGTGAAGGTGTTATATGTACCTGTTTTTGTGAACCAGTTCCATCTAAAGAAAATGCTACAAAAATGTCCTGATGATGGTGATTTCACTGGAATGTGCCAACTAAAGATGATTTTGCCTCAGGTTTTAGATCCACTGGATTCAGTGCCTCTAGCCAAAAAGAGGTTTGAGACTGGCCCTATGGCTATCTTTACTTAGAGTTGAGACTGATATAAAAGAAACATACAAAATGTCTACTGGGCTAAAAATCCAGCAAAAGGATTCACCCCATATATAATGCAAACATTTTAGCAGCAATGTGTTAAATGTAAAATAAGATGGCACAACCAATGCTATAGTGACTTAGATTTAGAAAAATCTTAAATCTTTTTACTAAGAAGTGAGTCCCATTTCTCTGTAGAGTTTCTTCTGAATAAATAAGATTAAATCAAAACTATTGGTCTATTATAAGGAAGATGCATTTACTTCCTAAATAAGTAGATGGGAGGAGAAACAAGGCAAAACATTGTTAATTGGTTATTTAACAAAATAATACTAGCTGGAAACACTGGAAAGAGAAATAGTTATCTTTTTATTATAGTCAAACAAAGAAAAACAATGCATCTGTTTTTCAAAAATATTAGGTGCTATCAGATTTCATTTGCTTTTGAAATGAAATGTTTAAGTGTTTCTTGTTACATTTTATAGTACAATTGCTTTGAAAACTAGTGATTTATTTGAAAGTCCTTAATTATTATTTAAATTTCAATTGCCCACCTATATTTCCTTCACTGAATCTTTAAATCATGCACTTAAAATAGACTACAAGATTATCTGGTCAAATCATAATTTATTCTCCCTCTCTCTCCCTCTCTCCTATGTTTGTGGGTTGTGTTGATGTGTGTGGCAGAGGGTGTTTATGTTTGTATGTCACGACAAGCTATTCAGTCAAGGAAAACAATCTCAGAAAGCACAATAAAAGGTTGTTTCCTTTTGTATTATATTCTGATCAAAATAGATTCTCCTAAACCAAATAGCTATTCTCTCTTAAAAAAACAACCTGTACGTTGTCAAACCCAACAGTAAATAGATCCCCATCTTTCTTTAAGCTCTTTCAACTTAGGTTCAAAACAGAATTATATATGGAAATTAGCCTTGTTGATATACTGATTCAGAAAACTCAAGTGTGCAAACCATCCCTATTATTTTTCTTTATTCTCAGTACAAGTGTGTAAATCTGTAGACACCTGAGGAAGCCCTGAAGGACTATAAATAGCTTTTTGTGAGGCAGTGGGAGGAGAAATAGCAATATCACATTCATAAAGATGGTGTAGAGCAGCTTTTTGTGCAAATAATTCAGAAAAGAAAACGTCTTAAGAAGTTAAACAGAATGATATTATACATAGATAAAGAAAAATCTGCTGCCAATAAGAAGGATCCAATAGAAAGATCTCAGGCAGGTGGAAGGATTTTCTGATTGAGGTAAGGAACAAAAGGGGGAAGAAAATATCAGGAAACTGAGGAACGGGATGGTATGTATGTATGTCTGTATATGCATGTATGTATATGTGTGTATACTGCATGTATGTATATGTGTGTATACACATACATTCACACGCACACACATACACACACAATACACATATACAATTCCTTTCAAATACTGAATAGTAATAAAATTAATGGTTTGCCCTTCTAATGTTTTCATAAAAAACAATTTCCATCATTATTAATTCCTCACTGTCAAACCACAGATAACCTAATTCAAATTTTCTTGTATCCCTTGGGTTATAAGGCATCTGGATAGAAGCTGGAAGATCATGAATTCTAGACCTGCCTTAGACACAAAGTCAGCTGGATGATCTCTAGGTATACTGAAGTAGAGTTGATCACAAAATGCAAGGTTATACTCTCCTGTATTTCATAATAGTCTCAAAACATTCAGGAAGGTTGCTTAATACTAATCAAATTAATTTTTTCCAAGTAGAATCACCTCAAATGCTACAACTTACTATTTTATGACCATGTAATAGATAAAATATAGTCACTTTGGTGTAGTGGTTAAGGCATCAGATTAGAATCTGGGAGAACATGAATTCTAATTCTTAAGTACAAAACTGGGTGACCTTGGGCCTGTCATTTTCTTTCAGCCCTAGGAAAGAGGCAATGGCAAACCACTTCTGAAAACCCTTGCCCATAAAACTGCAGCTCATACAGTTTCTGAGAATTAGGCATAATTGAACAGAAGAAAAGATAATGATCCATCCACCCTATCCTATTCTAACCCTTTTTCTTATTTAAAATATCCCCAAATTAGGTATGTGATAATGGTTGCACATATATTCAGAGAAAGATATACTTCAGAATATCAGTTAAACATCCTTTATGTTCCAGAAAACAAATAGTATATACACTTATTGAGACATCTAGATCAGTTATTCATACCATTAAACTCATGCCGATACCAACCCTACCCTTTACTTCTACCAGATATCCTCAATAGATATTATGCTCTAACCTGTAAGAGAAGCAATTTCACATGCATCCAATATCCAAAAAACATACACTTCACATCATAAACAGCAAATCATGTTGCAATTCCAAGCCTTTTGGTTCGAGAGATTTTCAAAACATTTGTCAATCTTTCAAAAATAAATTTGCTACTTGTATAATAGAATAGTACGATTGCAAATATTGTTTGCATTCGTGAGAATCTTGAAAATGAAACCAGAAATCCACTTATTTTAAATATTGTACACTTATAATTTTTAAAAAACAGATTCAGCTAGTTTTGTCCTAATTCTTATTAGTCCCTAAGAAGACACTGTACTGTGAATATTTCTTAGCATTTTCCCACTTCCCCCTCTTGAAGACTGAAGCACAACCAGGTGAGGACCTGTTTGGAGAAGACCTACTCACCGTCTTCCAGAGGGGCTGTCTCTTGGCACTGACTGAAGTGGCAGTTACTATGAGATGTGAGACAGACACTATCAAACCGAAGACAACGGCCAGGAGAGTGCGGACGGGCAATAGGGAGTAGGAGACGAAGATGACCAGCATGAGCTGCCACATACCCTGCTCGGGGGCGCTGGGTGGCTCCATGCCATAGGCGCCCACTGAGAAAGGGCAGCAAAGGAAGGCGAAGGTAAAGCTGAAAAGCAAGCTGAGCTTCACTATCTGCTGCAGCTGTGTGACTTGCAGGTACTTAACATTGGTGACGATGAAGAGGGAGAGGAAGATGATACAGTGTACCGGATGGGAGCCCTTGGAAATAGTCAGCCTGGGGCCCGAAAGCAACTCCAGCAGCGCCAGACTGGCCGTCAGCGCTATCAGCACGGCCAGAGCTTTGAGTGTGGACGTCTGCTCCAGTTTCAGATTATAATTCTGGAAGAGCGATTCCAGTTCCTTGCAGTCGAACTGGTCCTCACAGGCGACGCCATCCAGGAAGGGTACCGGGGGACCCACTCCGACTGTTCTCACTGCCGCGACCGCAGCTCCGGAAGCGTTGCTACTATTGCCTGCAGCCGATGGAGGTACTGGGGGCGGCGGCTGCGTTGCCAACGGCGGGCCGGGTGTGAAGGAGCAGCAGCAACAACAGCAGCGGCAGCGGCGGCGGCAACATTTTTTCTTCCTCGTCTTTTTGCTCTTCTTGACTTTCTGAAACGGCATTTCCTCCATGTCAGGGCCATTCATAAATCCTGCGGAGGGAAAGCTCCTCCGCTGCTTCGGCCACTGTCGCTCCAGTAGCTTAGCCCAGGAAAGAAATCCGGGAAAGAGGGACGGGAAGGGGGCGGTGGCTGCTTTTTTGAGAACGCGGGAAAGCGGTAGGGGTGGTGGCGAGCAAGAGCGGTTCTAGACACTGAAAGCCAACCTAAAAGAGAGCAATCCCCGAATGCAACCCACCCACCGAGCCGCCGCCGCGCGCAACAGCAATCGCCGGAGAGGATCGCTTTTCAGATGGCCTCAGAGCGACTTTCGGGGGCGCAAAGTCACTCTCACTCGGCTCTGGAATGCCGCTACCGCCGCTTCTAATTCAATGCGAGGTGTTCCCTGCTCACGCTACATAACTAATAGCTTCTCGCCCTGCACACTCGGCTTTCCTAGGCTGCAGCTTGCAGGGGCTACAATCCCCGAATGGCTTCGTCCGAAGACAGGAAAGCCAGCAAAAAAGAGAAACGGCTGAAAGACAAAAAACGAGGATGGGCAAAAGACTCGATCCACAGGCTGGTTTGATCAGAGGCGGCAATTTGGAAGATACTGTAGTAGGAGGGACACAATCATGCTGGTTCCTAGGGAATAAGACCAAGCAATAAGAGCTCAACCCTCCCACCAGTAACGTAATAAAAAAAATCTTCCGAATATAAGGTAAATTAAGATGATTCCAAAAGCGACAGAGCCAGAGCAAGGGAGAGAAAAAAAGTGAGGGAAATATCGAGATAAGGGAAGACAGGGTGATCCCCTTTCTACGTCCAAAAGCATTTTAACTGAGGAAACGTCCTGCGCCTGCGCACAGTTTTGGTTAAGAAACCAGGCGCATTGCCCAATCTTAGTGAATTGCGGGGGGGGGGGGGGAGGAGAAATGTCCGTTTGAGGTTTTAACGGGATCGTGTCCAAGTTTCATGCTCTCACCTCCCCCACTTCTAGCTTTCTCCTAATTCTTGGTCTTCCTCCATTTCTCCATCACGTGTATTCCTGCTCTTATTCCCTTTCACTGATCAAAATGCGTGAAAGGTTTTTTTTTTTTTAAACTTTGTGTCACGCCTTCCTGACAACAGATTAGAATGGACATCTGGTAGTGCATGCAGTTATCGGCAGCAAACGAGCTGCAGTACACCAGGGAGAGGAAAATGGCAAGTGGAGAGAGGAATCTAGTAGCATATTCGCGGGTGGGTGAGCTGGTTTGTTAGCACTATTTCTTTTATAAAAGTTAGCTCGGATGACGCTTGAGATCACTGAACCCATTGCCATTTAAAATTTACCTGAAAAACGAATTTCATTAGTTTCTCAGTCTAACTAGGAGGGATAAGTGTATTTATAACATTTAAACATTCTGAAAGAGAGGAATTCTTCAAAACAGTATACTCAAAGGAGCATTTTTTACGACGGAATGGCTTCTTTTGGCGAACGAGAATAAGCCTTTCAGCAATCTAGCCGTTTTCAGATTTTCGAGATCCGGGTGTGTGCGCATACACAAAGATCTGCAGTTACCATTTTGTTAGGTTGCTTTTGGGTTCCCTAGGCGTTTGTTAGTGCCACACAGTAGAACAGGACAAAGACAATCTCTGTTCAAATGGCAAGCACCTCAGCTGCTAAGTAATGAGATTGCTGCTGCCGCTTGGGTAGCTGTTAACTACCTCCTTACTATACCTGCCCTCCTTTATAAGCAGTATGATAAATGTTTAAGAGAATTAGCAGGTACCATGTATTAATTTTTTTAAAGCATGCTGACGTACTTCCAACCCAGCTCTACAAACTTTATAGTCAAAATTAATCATCTTCTGTTCTAAACAAATTAGAGCCAGATTGTTTCCTTCTATCAATTGTCAATAGTTCATAAGTATATATTTTTTTTAATCCATTCTCTGTCAGCTAGATGAAAGGACCCACATTATCAAAGATTTCAGTCTGCATTTTATAAAACTGGTAGTGCTTGTTGCAATTGCCAAGATAAGAATAAACAGTTGGGAATTGTTAAATAGGATTGGTAAGTGGATAAGCATATACATTTAATAAATAAATAATAGTTGGTTGTGTACAGCCTCCTTCAAAGAGTTCCTGTGAGGAAGAGCTGAAAAGCCATCAAGCAACTGTTCCCCTTAAAATAGCTGAAAGATGGGTTGTTGCAGTTGTGAAACTGACCAGCTAGAAGCTCTGCAGAGCTGCAGTATTTCCAAGATCAGTGTACGGACCCACCCCACTTTGCATCTTAAGAAGACAGAACTCTTGGAATAATTCTTCCAACAGGCATCCTTTATTAAGAGAAAATGGTTGCAGGCATTCTAGACAAGACTTGGGGTCCAAGCTCTCCCATTCAAGGTTTTAAGGGGTTCCCCAGTAGCCCCACCCAATCACCTCCCTCTTCCACCGGCAGTCTCAGGCATTACACTCCCACCCCCTTTTCCTTACTGCCGGCTGGATGGAGACTTCAGAGAAAACTACATGAAAGGTAAAAGCCCCATTGTTATGGTTAGTTCATTTGGCAATACTCACATCCAGTTCCTTTGAAGTGTACCAAAGGAAGTGAGGGCCATAAAGCCCCTTTGTTCACCCCCTTCCCTTCATCGTATGACAGAATCTATAGAAGGCAGAAATGGGGTTTTTTATAATTGATAACTAGAGATGAAATATAATTGGATTCTGACATCCTGCCCCTTCAAAAATATGACAGATCCACCTGAAAGAAAACAAAACAGGTATAAAAGTTAGTCAGGCTTGTTAGGGTATTCTGTGTGAAACTTCTTTAATAGTTTCAGGGCTCTGACATGACGTTTATGGACCCACTCGTTTTGTGAGGGAGGGAGGTGTTTCCAGGCAACTAGGTACTGAGTCATTCCATGATATCTCCTAGAGTCAAGGATTTCCTTTATTTCGAAGTGTTATTCGCCCTCCGCCATGATTGGAGGTGGTGGTGGGGGGATTTTTGGCCGTAGAGGTGACTGACGCTCTCTTTTCAGCAAGCTACAATGAAAAATTGGGTGTATTTGCCTGAGATTTTGGGGTAATTCTAATTCTACTGTTACTGGGTTTATGATTCTTTTAATTGGAAAAGGCCCTATATATTTTGGTCTACGTTTTTTACAGGGCTGTAGGGACTTTAGGTATTTTGTAGATAAGTACACCATTTCTCCTAATGAATGATGTAGGCTCAACCCTTTTTTTATCGGCTTGTGCTTTGTATGCCTGCCTAGCTTCATCTAGTGCTTTTCTGACTATTGGCCAGATGTTTTGTAATTGTTCCATCCATTCTTTCAGTGATGGGATTGCCGGTTCCTGTGGGGTTAATTCTGGCATGGGGTTGAAACTTTGACCGTTGGCTATTTGAAAAGGAGTGTAACCTGTGCTGGAGTGGACTGCATTATTGTAAGCAACTTCTGCGAAAGGGAGTAGGTCCGTCCAATTTGTTTGTTGAAAATTAATAAAACATCTTAAATATTGCTCAAGTACTGAAAGACAACGTTCTGTTTGTCCATCCCCTTGTGGATGATGACTAGATGTCAGTCCCTGAGTGGTCCCTAAGAGGGATAAAAATTCCTTCCAAAATGCAGACGTAAATTGCACTCCCCTATCAGAGATGATGCGTTGGGGTGCCCCGTGCAATCTGTAAATGTGCTGGACAAAAAGTTTTGCTAAGGCCTTTGCAGTGGGAATCTTTTGGCAAGGGATAAAGTGCACCTGTTTGGAAAACAAGTCCGTGACTGTCCAGACAACAGTATTCCCATTGCTTTCTGGCAATTCCACTATAAAATCCATGGCTATTTCCCTCCAGGGGATTTGCCACTGGTTGTAATAGTCCTGGCAATTTCCCTTGCAACCTCTTTGCAGTCGCACATTTTGGGCAGCTGGCCACATAACTTTCTATGTCCTTTTTTATTGATGGCCAGCAAAATTGCCGTTTAATTAAGTGTAAAGTTTTTACAAATCCAAAATGCCCTGCTGATTTTGTGTCATAGCAAAGCTGCATGAAAGTGACTCTTTGGGTTGTTGGTATATATAACTTTTTCCTTACCCAAGGCAACCCGTCTCTCATTGTGCATACATTTTGGTTTTTCTGGAACCATTCGTCTGTTTCCAAACTTTTTCTGAATTCAATTCCAGTTTGGCTGTCCAGTTGTGGTTTTAATTTAGCTTGGGTTCTTGTGGTTACTGGTGCTGCCAGTTGTGACTCTGCCATTATTGGTTTAGAGTCTGTGGTTCGTGCGCTGTTATATTGGGTCATGCGAGATTCTTTCTCCCTGGTAAATGTTTGAGCTTAAATTAGAACTGGTGAAAATGCTGGGACCAGTGGGCTTGTTTGGGATTGAGTTTTCTGGGCGTTTTCAGGACTTCCAAATTTTTGTGATCAGTCCACACCTGGAAGGGGATTTTGTTGCCTTCCAGGAACTGTCGCCACGTGAGTAATGCCCAACGTATCCCGTATGCCTCCTTCTCCCATACGGGCCAGCGCTTTTCTGTTTCCGTGAATTTCTTGGATGTATATACACAGGGTTGCAATACTGCATCATCATTTTCTTGTAATAGAACAGCCTCCACTGCCACATCACTTGCATCTGCCTGTATTACAAAGGGCTTGTCCATGTCTGGGTGTCTTAGTACTGGTTGGCAGAAAAAAGTCTCTTTAGTTTCTCAAACACTGCTTGGCACTCCATTGTCCATGTTAGTGGCTGGCTAGGTTTTATGAGGATGCTCCCTTCGTTTTTAATAAGTTAGTGAGGGGCAAGGCTATCTGAGCAAATGAGGGGATGAATTGGCGGTAAAACTTTGCAAAGCCCAGAAAACATTGTAATTGCTTTCTTGTGTGGGGTGGTGCCCAATCTAATACTGCTCTGACCTTCTCTGGGTCCATTTCAATGCCTGGGGGGATATGCGATAACCTAGGTAGTCTATCCTTTCCTGGTGGAATTCGCATTTTGAGAGTTTGGCATATAGGTGGGCGGCTCACAGTTTCTTTAAAACCGCTCTGACAAGGTTGACATGTTCCTCTTTTGTTTCGGTGAAGATAAGAATGTCGTCCAAGTAAACAAGGACCCCCTTAAACAGGTGCTCCCTTAGGACGTCATTGATTAATTGCATAAAGACTGCAGGGCCCCCTTGTAATCCAAATGGCAAGACTTTGAATTGATAGCACCCCATGGGGCAGTTAAATGCAGTCTTCCATTCGTTCCCTTCCTTAATTCTCACGTGATAGTACGCTTCCCTTAGGTCTAGTTTAGAAAAAAAAATTCTTTCGAGAGGTGTGACAGCATGTCTTTCATGAGGGGCAGAGGGTATAGGTTGCTTTCACTGATTGTATTCAGGGCCCTATAATCTACGCATAAGCGTAAAGAGCCATCCTTCTTCTTCAGCATGATGTCAGAAGAATCCACCAATGGGTTGTCTCAGTCCTCCTGCCCAATCAGACCAAGTTGTCACGCCTCCTCCGTATCTGGGGTCCTCCCAGTTTTCTTCTTGGTCTTCGCCCATTACATACATGATTTCTTGACTCTCTCTACGTTGGAGCAGGTCTGATAGAAAATTTACTCATTGGTGGATTCTTTAAAAGAGTTTAGCAGCTTAGTGAGAGTTTTGTTTCCCCTCTGTAAGGATTTGATGCATTTCCCTCCTCAGGGTTAGGTTAAAACTTCCCAAGGAAAGGGGGCGGTGGGTTTTTCACTTCCCCAGATTCAGTATCCTGCTGAATTAGCAAACAACCTCGCCCTACACAGTGGGGAGGGGAGGTTTAACTTGTACGCATTTCA